TTCATGAGTTGCTGGTGTCGGCGTTCATGCATTTTGCGAATGTGTGTGCTCTTGGCGGCACTGCGATCCAGATGCTTTACTTGCAGAAGAATGCGTTTGTAATTGAATCCAGTATTTACAGTAATACTTTATGCAATTAGAAAGCATAATTTACGAATGTTGTGGCAACGCGCTGTAATACAACCTTAATTTCCTTGCCAAGTGCTCTAACCGATGATCGCAGGCGAATAGAAATAAACGTCACGACATGAATGGGCTTCAGGCGAGAACGCTCACGACGGTACGGTTCTTGGCAAGGAATTCAGAGGTCGCTCTTGGCGCGTGTCTATAATTTGGGCACGCGTGCAATTTCTGCTCAAGAATACGCCTAAGTCATTGTCGCGGTGGCGTGACAACTTTGAGGCACCTCGCCGGCACATTACGTCTCGCGGTTTGTTTGTTGGGTGGATTTCTTTGTCATTGAAATGCGGAGGCTTGACCTCCCCCCGCCCGCCTCTGCTCGGTGTGCACGTGGGGCACGGGAGGATGCTGCCGTGAGCGGCGTCACGGTCGGAACGCTGGACTTGCAATCTGGGGGGCTGCCCGCTCGATTTGCCCGGCGGGGCAGTTGAAACGATGTTCAAGGTTTCTTAAATGCCTATTTCATGACTGCTCACGATCGTTTCCCGTACCCCGGGCAGAGAAGCGAGAGCCTGGACCACCTCCCCCGATCGGATCCCTCATCTCGAGGGCGCATTGCTCCGAGTTCGCTACACGTCACTTGCTGGGTTTTCTTTTCTCTCTCTCTACCGCTTTTTGAAATCTACTTTGTATTCTGGGTTCTTGAATGACAATATTTGTTTTTATATATTTATATACACATACAACAACAAAAAAGCTCCCGTTTCAAGCCACCACGAATATAGAGTTAAATGGGATCGTTAGGTCGTGTGTGGTGGGGAAGAGTAGGCGACGAGATACAACCGAGAGGAGCTCAGAGATCCCTCAAGTGGGAGGCCTCTCTGCAGGCAGCGGCACGAGCCAATCGACATTTGGGCAGCCCCTTTGCGCACGAGCACGGCGTCATTCCTGCACGAGGGCGCTCAGCCACGTGGACATTGTCTCTGGCTTTTAAGCCCCCCCCACCCCACGCCCGCACGTGGGAAACGTCGCCAATGATGGCGCTGTTGATGGCGCGTGCGCGCTCACGGTGGAATATTACGTTTAACCCCTTTTTAATACGAACAAATATCGCGAACAGGCGGACAAATCCTGACCTTATAATAGATCCCATGCCATTTACATTTTCCAGTAAAAATCACGAACGAATAAAGTATGCGAGTACGTTACTGCGCCATCTGTCAGTGCTGCATGCATGGATGTGTAGAGCGAGCACAACTGTTGAGCCGAGGCCGTTTATTTTATCTTCTCCAATTTCCTTCGAAGCATAAAATAAACATCGTGGGAAATTAACATTATGGCACAAACATAAATCTTAACCCTTTCCCATTCCGATGTACGTCATCAGTTTTGCTTCTGATTCCCGAACCAGAAGAAAACGAAACCAAAATAACTTGATCGGTACCGAGGCTCCCCCAAGGCCATGCGGGAGGGCGTGTGGCACAGTTTGGCGCCAGCTATCGTGACGTGCGGTGGTCGTGTTGTAATAGTTCTCGGCGGTGAGTAACAATGTGTTTAGAAACAACGGTGCTGCTACGCCTCTCTAAATAACATTAACACTGAACCGCTCACGCGTGCCGAGATTCGGCGGTGAGTGGGACGCCGCCCACCTTGCAACTCGCAGTCGTCTCGGAAACGTGAAAGGGGTTGATAAGGGAAACAAATAAAGTAAAAATGTACATTCACGTACAAAAAGCAATTTCGTTTGCAGATCACTTTTTTTTTTAACAAACCGCAAAGTGCTCACACTCCCAATGGCAGATGTTTCAATACGTCACCCGATAAGGAGGTGATAGGAATTGCTTACCCAGGTCAGGTGCTGTTAGTAAATGCCACGTACTCTATCAGGTCATTGCCAATCATTGTAATGACTCACTTTCTCCAAGGTGACTTGGCTCAAAGGCTAAACACACACTTTGCCTCAAATAGATATCCCCCTGAGTAATACCACTCGGTTCAGAGAGCCAGATGCCAATGGGTAATTTAGAAATTGTGAGAAAAAAATGTATTCCCTTCAGGGGACATTATCGTGAAATGCTTTATCAGCAAAATAAAAATAAATCCCGTTATTTGTCAGCCTTCTCCTTATGTGCCAATCACATACGTGGCGAGGACACGGTAATAACCGAGAGTATTCATAAGCACAGGATCACGTGAGACAAAACCCCGCCACAAACCTCGTACCCGTTGAAAGCCAACATGTTCATACACGGTGGCTTAATGTAATGCCATCGCGGATGATTTACACGTAGCACAAAACACATCATTAGCGTCGGTGTGGAGAATATGAGTAACAACATAAATAATCAGACAATGCCCCTCTTTCACCTGTCTGCCCCTCCACCTATTTATTTTTACATATCCCATCAACCGCACGGCCTTCTGGGAGTACGTAATTTCGGAAACGTTATTGTAACGTAAGCTTGCGCTGAACGAATGCCGCTGAAATGATTCTCAGCAGGCTGAAAAGGAACATTCACGAGGAGTGTGAAGCTCCCGATTTCCCTGCCAAAATTGTGCACTTTGACCGTACACGGTGGCAAAGCCGGCTCAGTGGAATTTCACGTGTCCCTTCTCGCCTCTTTGAGGTGCAGCGATAGGGAGATTGCCCCACCAGCCTAGACACCATCCACGTCCCTTTGCATGCCATGGGGTTGTTTAGCTGGTGCCGTTTCTTCTGACCACACATTCATCAACAACCCTCTTCGACAACGTGATTCGGTCTTGAGGCTCCAGTCCCTCGCGAAAGACACAACCGCCAGCCCTCGACTCTTCCTCGGCTCGGGAGTTTCGTCGTGCGTGGCCCAAAGCGGGCTACCTCGATGTCAGGCCCGGGTCACACCGCGTGCCGATTCAATCGTGGATTTGGTCTTATTCAATCGAAACTGTCAGAAAGTTGTGGAGGACTGTGCGGGCGTGACGAGGTCACGTTCATCAGATGCGCTTGCCGCTGCCCGTGCCGAGGTGCGTCTGTGTGTCGCTCACTTTTACAGTGAGGGAAAAAAGTATTTGATCCCCTGCTGATTTTGTACGTTTGCCCACTGACAAAGAAATGATCAGTCTATAATTTTAATGGTAGGTTTATTTGAACAGTGAGAGACAGAATAACAACAACAAAATCCAGAAAAACGCATATCATAAATGTTACAAATTGATTTGCATTTTAATAAAGGAAATAAGTATTTGACCCCTCTGCAAAACATGACTTAGTACTTGGTGGCAAAACCATTGTTGGCAATCACAGAGGTCAGACGTTTCATGTAGTTGGCCACCAGGTTTGCACACATCTCAGGGGAGATTTTGTCTGACTCCTCTTTGCAGATCTTCTCCAATTTATTAAGGTTTCGAGGCTGATGTTTGGCAACTCGAACCTTCAGCTCCCTCCACAGATTTTCTATGGGATTAAGGTCTGGAGACTGGCTAGGCCACTCCAGGACCTTAATGTGCTTCTTCTTGAGCCCCTCCTTTGTTGCCTTGGCCGTGTGTTTTGGGTCATTGTCATGCTGGAATACCCATCCACGACCCATTTTCAATGCCCTGGCTGAGGGAAGGAGGTTCTCACCCAAGATTTGATGGTACATGGCCCCGTCCATCGTCCCTTTGATGCGGTGAAGTTGTCCTGTCCCCTTAGCAGAAAAACACCCCCAAAGCATAATGTTTCCACCTCCATGTTTGACGGTGGGGATGGTGTTCTTGGGCTCATAGGCAGCATTCCTCCTCCTCCAAACACGGCGAGTTGAGTTGATGCCAAAGAGCTCCATTTTAGTCTCATCTGACCACAACACTTTCACCCAGTTGTCCTCTGAATCATTCAGATGTTCATTGGCAAACTTCAGACGGGCATGTATATGTGCTTTCTTGAGCAGGGGGACCTTGCGGGCGCTGCAGTATTTCAATCCTTCACGGCGTAGTGTGTTACCAACTGTTTTCTTGGCGACTATAGTCCCAGCTGCCTTGATATCATTGACAATATCATCCCGTGTAGTTCCGGGCTGATTCCTCACCGTTCTCATGATCATTGCAACTCCACGAGGGGAGATCTTGCATGGAGCCCCAGGCCGAGGGAGATTGACAGTTCTTTTGTGTTTCTTCCAGTTGCGAATAATCGCTCCAACTGTTGTCACCTCACCAAGCTGCTTGGCGATGGTCTTGTAGCCCATTCCATCCTTGTGTAGGTCTACAATCTCATCCCTGACATCCTTGGAGAGCTCTTTGGTCTTGGCCATAGTGGAGAGTTTGGAATCTTCTGTGAACAGGTGTCTTTTATACAGGTAACAAGCTGAGATTAGGAGCACTCCCTTTAAGAGTGTGCTCCTAATCTCAGGATTTAAGAGTGTGCTCCTAAACTCAGCTCCTTACCTGTATAAAAGACACCTGGGAGCTAGAAATCTTTCTGATTGAGAGGAGGTCAAATACTTATTTCCCTCATTAAAATGCAAATCAATTTACAACATTTTTGACATGCGTTTTTCTGGATTTTGTTGTTATTCTGTCTGTCACTGTTCAAATAAACCTACCATTAAAATTATAGACTGATCATTTCTTTGTCAGTGGGCAAACATACAAAATCAGCAGGGGATCAAATACTCTTTCCCTCACTGTATATAAAATTTATCACTCATGCTCGTCGTTTTAAAAATGTAAAAAAATCAGCCCCATGGGTCAAGAGGGCCACGTCACGACTCGGGCGCTATCGCCGCACAAAAGTTAACGTGCACGACATCGGACTATCAAGCATCGGCGAGTGTCCCTTCTGAGAGTTGACAACTTTGAAATGTTTTTAATCGTTTTTTCCTACGACGGAGGACCCCCGTTGCCAAAACACCACCGAAGTTTTATGCCTCACCTTGTCGGGGTTGACAGCAGGCGACGATCCACACACAGTGGGAATCACCGTCATAGAAGCCCGGGTAGTTGGGTGAGAAGATGATCCCACTGGGACCTTGAACATTCTCACCGCAGTTCTGAGCTGTAAAATGGCAAGGAAAAAAAAAAGAAGATTATTTATTTAATATAAAATTTAATTTATTAAAATATACCCACCTGGACGTTTCCTTGAGATGGAACATCCTCGTTTGCGAAGGTGTTCAGACGTCAATTGACGCGTACGTCGCGAACGCATAATGACACGCGCGTATGCACGCAAGTGAAATCTATCCCCCTGTATGGATAGTTAAGAGTCGCCCAGCCCTCCTTGACAAGTGGCTTGGCGATTAACAAAAGCAACGCTACCCGTTACTGCGCCTTTCTGCGGCAATATTTGCAATTTCATTCGCATCACAGGGGGCGCCGTGGAAGCGCGATGTTGCCTGGTATACAGGAGGGCATGGGTTCGATCCTAACCCTGACCACCTGCATTTTTTGCATTTGCATGTCCTCCCCGTGGTCAAGTGGCTATTTCACTAGGTCCTACGGTTTTCCCCTCCACATTTAGACACATGCGATTAGAGTATTTGGCTGCTATACATTTCGACGTGATAAGCCGCTTTGTTGAGCTGTCATTTGTGGCCAGGTCGCTTCCGAAAAAGAGCTATACAGCTCATTGGGGCCTTATCTGGTAAAAAAAAAATTCCCGTGTCTGCTGTTATTTGGAGGGAACAGACACGGGAAGGAGGTGCATTTACCGTGGATTTATTTTGCGAGTAACTTGTTATAGTTCTTGTTTCAGGTGGCTCTACTCTAACCACTGGAGTCCCATCGGGGCAGTTGGTGAAGTGGTTGATTCAGGTGATAGTCGACTAAAAATTCTAATCCACTCCTTCTTTGTGGTGGTTTTCTCGGATCCATTTAAAGACAGCAGCCAGCCCATTCAAGCCATGCCCAGCGTGATGTGGGTGATGATGATGCCTGTGACATCACCGCGTCCCGCCCATCACCTCCCGTTCAGTGGTTACACGCGTTATCTAATTAGTTAAGTAATTAAACCTATAATTGGTAGAGTCATTGATTGCTTACGTAGGCGGAGAACCCAGCTCTGGGTGATTGTTTTCAATCATTGTTGGGTGGCTCCAGCAAGAAGAATTGTCCCCTCCAAACCGGCACGCGTCAAAGAGGACGCTTCTCCATTCTGGCACGAAACAAAGTCACTTGGGTGCCTGGCGGAGCGTCCGCAACGTGAGGCAGCCTGGCCAGCGATGTGGAGCTTTTCGTTTGGGGGCTGTCGCCAGGGTCCCGGGACGGCGGCACTCGAGATGCGCCGCTCGCGATGGCGGTGACCTCGCTGCTGAACGCGCGCGTGACCTGGCGAGGTCGCGGGCACCCCCCCCCCCCCCCCGCCGGATGAACACACAAACCTCGACCTCAGGCTCGACCGCGTCAGGCGAGGATGCACCGCTGTGCATTCGTGAATGCTTTTCAGCGCGGGTCCTGCGTTTTGCGAGATGACTATTGATGAAATGTGCAGTGGACACCGGCGGGCTCTCTGCCCATGGATCGTGATGATGGTGATGATGAGATGACTTATTTTCGTTTGCGTTGCGAAGGCGGCTGTCCGCATTGCTCTTCAAGTCACCGCCGCGTGTGTGTGTCCGTATCCCGGGGTGTGTAACGGTTAGTGCACTGCGCTACGAACACGGCAACCCGGGTTCAATTTCCGCTCACGGCCAACACCAGTGACGATTATTTGGACCGGTACTGTCCCTCCCCTAGGTCAACTCAGCCTCAAATTAGTACCTGATGCGGTGTGTAAACATCGTCACTGGGGAGACAAAGGCGGCCGGGCGTGTTGGCCAGCCACCCCCTCGTGTGACGTGCCGGCCTTCATAGGTGCTCGCTAATAGCACTTGCCCCTACAGTCTGTTAAGGCTATACGGGGAATCTTTGTCTTTTTTTCGTCCCGCGGTGTAGAGGGTACAATAAACGAGCCGTTATCTGCGAGCCCACGGATTCCGTCAAGGTGGCGCTGGGCATCGTTGACGCTGCTGGCGGGTGGAGGATGCCGACGCCGCTGCTGCTGGAGCAGCGGTGAGGACAGCAAAATCTACGTGCGGGTTACCCAGCTCCTCGATTCACCTTTGGCACCACGCTGGTCAGTGACAAATATACAGGTGTTAGGTTTTCTGAAAGCACGCGTAAGCGAACTCTGTTTTTGCTAACTTTGCCCGTTGCGATTAAGCTTTTTTTGCCAAATCAAACAAGCCTTGATGCTACACGATGTATTAGGAATAAAATTGCGGCGGAACTTTGATATGTCCATATCAGGCTAGACCGTGTGTACCGTGCCACGGATTAGCATCTGAGATGCCAACTAAGGAAGGGAATAAAATTACTTAGAAGTCGTACGCACACGCCCAGAAGTCACGGCGGCATAGGTACGTCTGCACGTCCACAGCAACGTGCACACACTGATGTGCCTGCTTTATATCGCAGCCGAATGGCGTTTCCAAAGCAGCGGAAACCAGCCCAGCCGTGATGAATGGTCGTGCACTGTGCGAGTTGGGATTCTGCATGCAAGATTATTTATTTATGTATGACCCCCCCACCTCCCACTGAATGATTTTCCGTACCGTGTGAAAGATGTTGCTCGTATACAACTGGCCCGGCCCACACCGCACGCGATATATCCCCGTGTGCAAGGGGTCACCAATTGATGTCTGACGGACGATGTCCAAGGTTAAGGACTGCACGGCTACGTGGGCGATGCTGTGTTTGCTCGACGCACGAAGGCGTGTTTGCCGCGGAGCACCGAGGAGATCGTGTGGGGAGATCTGTCTCACCTGCTGCCAAACAGTGCCCGGCCTGTTAAATTACGACCGCCACTTGTCCGGCTCAAAGCCACACGAGGAATCGGCCACCGTGTTTACGATCCAAAGAATAGAAACATCTGGCTTTGGGCCCCAAGCTGATGGGACAGCCTGTGATTCTGGCCAGGCCATGCGAATAACCCTTTGGCCCAGCGACCTGCTCTGCTCAGGACTCCTAATGCCAGAACTACCCATCCACCTCCCACAATCCCAGCCGCTCCCACTTCCAAGGTGACATCTCTCGGCACAGAACAGTGTAATCTCCTGTATGTTAGGCTGACACGGTGCCACGAGCAGAAGTTTCAGGGGGCAGGCGTTGAAACGGACGCCGATATGGATCGTCGGAAAAGGACCGCCAGATTTAGCCAATATAGCGCCTGCTACCTGGGCCCATGGCTTCCAAACAAAGGGAGCCGTAGGCGGCGAAGCGTCCGCTTGACATCACAGACAACGATCTCAGGCCCCGCTGGATGCTGAAGAGGCAGCATCGATGAGCCAGATGAATGTACCGGAGCAGTGATAATTGAAATACGCGTGTAGTCTCGATCTATTTAAGCAGTTTCACGCTGCTAAGCAGGGCTGCCAGCTATGTATATAGATGGGGGCTGGGATGAGAACGTGAGTTATGAATGAGGAAGTGAGTGGCTCTCTTGCAAACCACCGGTACGTAATTTTTTTGTGTGTGTGGCTCTCGGATGTCGGGGGGAGCTCAGCATGACTCCACATGTGTCGCTGCACGTGATGGGAGCTGCCTCACGAAAATTAATCCCTTCTGTGGCTCCGGGAAAAAAAAAAACATGTTTGGGCATCGTTTATGGACAGCATGCGGTACAACCCGTGAACACGTCGGAAAGCTGTGAAGGTAATTATTAACCGATAACAGATGGCAACAATCATGGTTTCCTAATAACTTGAAGTAGTTTTGTTATAATTACTCGTTACAAGAGGCACAGGTCTGCGATAGACGCAACAGCGTGAATGTGAAATACATTGGAAGCAAGGGAGTAATTACCGCAAAACGCGGACAAATGCCCGTCCGCGGTATTTTTTGTCAATAATCCGCTGAGCATAAACGACGGCAATAACGGCGAGCGGAGGGTTTCCTTCACTCGCCTTTGCACTGCGGAGACTGATCGCTCCACGCAGCGAACACGTCCGCCAGGCGCTGGCACACGACGCTCTTGGAGCCGAGCAAGACGAAGCCCTCGTCGCACGCGAACTGCACCGTGGCACCGAGCCTGGGGAGAAACGCAGCGGGGGGGGGGGGGTGTTGGCAAAGCTGGGGGGCAACGCGAGCGACGAGACACAGAGCGGGGGTGCGCGGCGCAAGCGCAACCGTTCCCGGGCACACCACGGATTGGTTGATTGGCCAACGGCGAGTGGCCGCGTAGGAGCAGGTGGCGACAGACGGGGGGGGGGGGGGGGGGGGGGTCGGGCGGGGGAGGTTGTGAGCGAGAGATGCGAGGGTTCGACGTCGCGTGTCCCGCTCCGGTGGAATGAGCACGGCGTCGTGCGCGTCTCTCAGCAGCCGTGAAAACCAGGAGGAAGAAATGCCACATTATTCAGGTTGGGGACGAGTATTTACACGTGGCAACCACTGTTAAGACGATGAAAAAACAAGAAGGGGTTTTTTACCATTCCTGGCAATTAAACAGGAGGTGTTAAGATGTTCAAACACCAAATAGGTAAATTGTGCAAGGCATCAAGTCTGCATTAACCACACATACTTGTGTAAAAAACATGCAAACAAACATGCCCTGATTATTATATAACCACTGCTAAGGGTCGGATTAATATGCAGTAAAGTAAGAGAATACTGTATTATCTAAAATATAATTCAGCAGTGGAACTGCAGTCACGAAAGCTTCAAATCAAGACTGTATTGTCTATTTCTCTTCACTGGAAGATATGTACTGGACATCTGTGAAAAAGAGCTTTATAGCTGATCGGATTCCTCCAGTATAAATATTCTGATGTATTTAAATGCAATACATGGACAACGCGTATATTAAAGGCGCGTTTCCCTTCGGTAAAAGGATGCCCACTTGCCTCAAACACCCGCGCTTCCAAACACACCGTGGCCAAAACAACCATAATACATAATCAGCTGACGCTCGACCAGAAGCTGCGTCGCACCAGGCGTTTAATTAAACGCACACACGGGGCAGCGGTGACTGCTGGAACAATGCTCATTGAGAAATTCTCGTCCGAGGCGTCGGGCTTCCGAACGCGCAGATCCATCGACGAACCGGTGAGGGGAGGGGGGGGGCTTAAGCTACGCAGTTTTTTTATAAAACAGCTCGATGTCCGATCTGACCCTAAGACCGGCAACGCTCCCCCAGTCTCCGCCGGAGCTGCACAGGGTTCCCGATATTATAATTTGCATTCACAGAAAGGGCGACACGGGGATGTGAATTTGAGAGTCAGCTGGTTTTCTTGTCCTTTGTTCTGCCACTTTTTTTTTTATCCTGCCAGAGCGACGCCCGTTTCGCAAACAAATTAGGCCCGTTCCGCAATTCACGCGCAGCCAATTTCACCCCCCCCCTCCCCGAAAGAAAAAAAAGCCCAACGCACCGCTGCTTACGCCTCTTGCTGCTTACGTGGCAAATTGTGGAATGGCCCAAAAAGTGGTCCGCGGTGAGGGCGTAGCCAACGGTTTGACGGAGAGCCGCGGCGCCGACTCCGCGTCAATCGCGCTAAGGAGGGCGCGCGGCTCGCGTGGGACAGCAATGATGAAGGCCGGCATGGCACACGGGTGGCCAGGCCGCCTTTGTCTCCCCAGTGGTGATATTACACATCACACCAGGTACTCAAATATTTGAGTCAACCTAGGGGAGGCCCAGGACCGGTTCAGATATTCGTCACTCGTGTTGGTCGTGAGCGGGAATCGAACTCGTGTCGCTGGGTCCATAGTTCAGTGCAATAACCACCACAAGACTGCTCCCCATACAGACACGCACACACACAAGCAGATATGTCTGCACAGGCAATTATCCTTAATGCTGCCTTATCGGCTCTCCAAACACAAGCCATGGCGAGGCAGAGGCAGGGTCAGAGGAAGCACTGCAATTGTGACCCTTGCATCTGGAGTTCGATTCCCGGCCATGGCTAAGTACACGATGAGACGTATCAATAGTCCAATCGTAATGTGCAATTTTATTGAGAGACACTGTCTTGTCTTGCTGTGGTCTGGGACTGTTATTGTTTTGCTGCCTTGCCCAAGCTTGTTGAAAAATCGGCAGCGATTTATCTACTTTTGCAATTTGTACTGATGTACTTAATTCATTTACTGTTAGTGATTTGCTTAACTTTCCTATAAGTTGCACTCCAATCGTGTGTTTGCCTTGTTAGTTGTTGTAACGTTCTGATCCGCCCCTACTGAACATCTGTGAAAAGAGCTTCATAGCTCATGATTCTTCCGGACGAAATTTATATTCTGATTCTAAACCGTGCAACTCGAGATCGATTCCCGCCCATGGCTGGCATTGGCGGCAGGTGATATCTTAACCGGTTCTGGGTCCAACCCCCACCCCTTCACCAACCTGGACTAACCAGTGTGGTGTGTATAGACAAACAAGCTGCACAATGAACAAATTGTGGCTTAGCAGCCTCTGGCTGCCAGCACGTTGACTGCTGGAATTTCGCAATTGGGGCATCAACGATGTCTACACGATTCGGCCATCAGGGCTGTAAATAGAGGGCTGGCGAAGTCCCCATTTGGTGCCACAAGCATCGTCATGGTGTCCCCTGATGATGCACGCTGGTGTGGCAACTTTTTATTCTGGGCGTTGCGGTGGGGAGATGTTAACTACCTCGCCTGGTATGCTGGACGTCGTGTGTTCGATCCCGACCCTGACGCCTGCTGTATATTTGGAATTTGTACTTTCTCCCCGTGGCCGCGTGGATTTTTCTCCGGGTTTTCCCTCCACATTTAGAAACATGCGTTTAGAGTATTTGGCTGATATACATTTACACGTGATAAACATCATCATTGAGCGATCATTTGTGGCCAGGTAACTTCTGAAAAAGAGCTACATAGCTCAGTGGGCCTTACCTGGTCAAATAAAAAATTAACCCGTAAAAACAAAGTTCTTCACTATAAATCCTTTATATGCGTGGCGGCTAGAGTCCTCTCGTCCTCTGGCTTGAGATGGCTGCCACCTATGGGTCAGATGATTGCCTGCCACCATTAAGCAATTGGTAATTAAATATAATAAAACATTTTCATAAAAAGTGTAAAAAAAAATTCACAAAAATAAATTGTCACGCACAACGAGTCTGTGTGCAAAATGTCAGCTCGATTGGATGACGGGAAGTGGGTTAAAAAACGACCGAAAGATTTGCACGGTCGTAACCGCGCAAGCAAGCAAGCAAGTGAACTTAATATAAAGGATTTAAAAATAGTTTAGTTTAGAATCCAAACACATGGAATATACCAAGAAGGGGAGATGTCCGTAGATATACCAAATATAGAGCGCAAGATTTGGACCGTGTTTGTACAGAGTTATTCATCCAGATATCCACACGACCATCCAGAGTCCACAACTATCCAAAGCATATCACTGCACATCATGGATTGGTCCTGTCAGTCACCTACCAACACAATCACTTTCCCCCCGACCTCATTCGGATTCGCCCGGCAGTTAACATCACCATCACCACCACCATCACCGCGCCGGTTGACATCCCCATCTGCCCAGCAAGCATTTATAATGAACAAAATCCATAAATACTTTGTATTAATTTTAAAAGATCGTTTCTTCCCCCCCCAAAGTCCGATAATGGTGGTGCTAGGGGGGGGGGGCAGCGATGCGATACTGTTTCTCACCTGAAGTCGGACCCCAAACGTGCTCCGTTCCGTGGAACCTCTGGTTCTGGGCAAATATTCGATGCCTGGGCAATGCCTCCCTCGCTCGCTGCAAGACCAAATCAATGCCGTACGTCAAGCAACTGAGAATACGACCACAACAACACATACGTTCGTAAAAATGTAACAAAGTGGATAACATACGGGGGACACATTCTTCTCATAAAACACTGTTGTTGTCTTCCATTTGCTATCTGTATCACGTTCTTCCCTTAAAGGTAACCTTCCTCCCGTAATGAGAATTATAAACAACGTATAAAAAGGAGAGTAATTCCAGCCGTGGTAGCTCCTCCACAGGACTGCAGATTTCGCAAGTCGCCGCCTGCGTGCGACGACGCGGAGTGCATTCGCCGGCTCCCACGGGGGCAGTGCAAGGAGAGATTTTGTATCGCGCCCTTAATGCAAACCAATTTCCCCCTCGTGCCCTCCGTGGAGTTTGTGATTGCAGGCCCATCACGATCGCTGGTCCCAGCACAGCCAAGAACAATGCAGCCCTTGGGTTATTGCGGCGTTAATGTTTATACCACGGGATGAGAGGCTGTCAGCATTTCTCAACGGGTTGCCCCCCCCACCCCCCCACAGAGAGGAGCCGTGGCTGTGGGGAGGTGGGGGAGCATGAGGCTGTTAAGCAGATGCCCTTCCTTTCATTTGCTCCATATTGACCGATAGTAGGCGAGCTCCTTGATGAGCTCACGATGAGTACGATGAAGAAATCGTTACGACAAAGCCGTCGCCGCCGCCCTACGATCGTGACTGACGGCGCTGTTTTGTGCGATGATTAATTCATGAAGGGGATTATGACTGGGACGGATGGACGTGTCCTTTACGGTCCCCTATTACCCCCCGAGTGTGAACAATCTTAAAAGGTAACCACCGGAGTTCCATCAATTTAAATTATAATGGTCTGAAAATGATGACGCTTAAACATCGTGTGAATGACTTGAAGGTGAAAAATCACAAACGTAAAATATTGTTGATTTCACTTACAGACGGCATACTTGTGATTATTTTCTTTTCCCGGGAACAATTTCACTCCTCTTGACTTCATATCAATCGCTTTTTTTACTGCAGCAACACACGCACGCACGCAACAAGAGAACAAGCATGTGATGCATTCTGGAAACATCGTGGAGTCATTTACACATGTTTTAAGCATATGCTTAACAGAGACTGACAAAACAGCTGTTTCGACACAGCAGCTTCAAAATCGTCATCCCATTCATTCGTTTCCTCTTCTTTGCAGACAAATTTTTGGTCGAGTTTATTTTGTTTAACCAGGTGAGGAGCTCAAGAGACCGGGAGAAAGTCTCATTTGCAAGCTGACTTGTGTCACCAAACACAAAATGAGGAAGTCAAACTAATACAAGTAATCATGGGGAAGAAAGGAAAGCATCTGAGCCACACGACAGCTATTTTACAGGAGAAAGGAACGAAGAAAAAAAACACTGCGCAAATATGTATCATTCTTAAATAAAATAAAAAAATCCTACTAAATAATTTGGCGTCATAAAATTACTTTTTTAAAACAAGCACAGGGGAGATTAAGTTAAAGAAAACGTAACACGGAATCAAGGTCACTTGTGGCAATTCATAGTGAGCCATAATTGAGGTTTATTTTGGGCTACATCGCGTAAATACAAATGCATACCTGTGAACACATACGGTTTACCCGTATTCTTCTACAGGGAAATTGAGTTTTCAGATCCATACGGCGTACAGCCGTTTCAATACGGGCAAAAAAGAGCATGCGGCCAAATAAAAAAAGTCGTGAATGAAAGTGTATTATATTCTTGGTTCTTTCGGTAAAGTCACGTAGAAGGGAAACAACAAAATAACATAAATATAAAACAATAAAAAAATTCTCACGACTTTTTGACTGCAACACAAGCAATCATCATCAGGTGTGAAATCCAAAGTGTATTGTTGAACCCTTCATAATTTTCTGTGTTTATTGTTGTACCTTTACTACACGAGTGTGTGCATCAACATATCAAGCAAGCAGCAGCATCAGCATGCAATAACACAGTAGCATGGTAAGTAAAATCATTGACACCAATTATCAACATTAATACTTAAAAAGGTTTTGTTTAGTATAATATTTATTTATTTGTTTGTGTTTCTCCCATGTATTACGGATGATATTGGTCACGAAAGCCTACGTGTTAAACGGACTTTGGAAGATGAACGTTGAAATGTATAAGTGCACTGGGTGACCAATAAGGTCTGAATTGGTCTGTAATAAGGTAGGCACTGATAAGGGGCTGACAGGTATGTAAATGTGTCGTTAAACCCATCACCACTCGACACAACCAATTAGTAAGGTTTTTCACGTAAACAAAACATGCTGATTAGTTATTCGTCCAGCACACCGCTTGTGTGCTGGCGAGTAACCCACGTCAACATTTACAATTCGAGTACCGTGGCATTTCATCGCTAATTAAAAACAACAACCAGCATCATCAGGCGACAGCCAGAGCTTTGGAGAAATCCTCCTCCTGTTTCAGTCCGAACTAGAGTGAGACCAGAAACTACCTGGCTCTCGAGGAATGTTCCTTTTTGTATTGTTTGCTGTCGCAACCTTCCGACGTCTGTGAAAAAAAGAGCTTCATAGTTCATCGGATTCCTCCTCCGGTCTAAGTAAAGATTCCGATTCTGCTGCCGGATGTCATTTTGCGCGGTGTGTTGGCAAGTTCGGTGGACAAAAAATGGCGCCAGCACGAAGTCGGTTGCCACCTTGGCACCGGTGCTACATCGCCGTGATTTGACGAGCGACGATGAAAGGAAAACACGCGGGTTTTGCTAAATCGACGCCGATTTTAAATCCCAACTACACTAACGGCTCATTAACGACGTTCGATATATCATCGCGTGCAACAAAACCATTGCTTAAAATAATCCATAAGGCATTACGCCCTGTTGCATCGCGCACGACGAGGGCGATTTCTCCGAGTGAAATAGCACCGACAGAATGGGCGGCCAAGCGTTTAAATATTTTCTGTTTTACGCTCTTCAATGTGCCAGAGCGTGTGCGCGGCTGCCCACACAAGATCTGACCACTTTAGTGCAAGATCCGACCGTGCCCGTCCAGTGCTCGCCGAGTTGCATTGGCTTCCGGTTGCCGAACGAACTCATGATGCGGATCGCGATCGTTACGCACAAAGTTGCTTGCCACAAATTAACCACAATACCTCGCTAATTTCGTCAGCAAGGAGCATAAAACATCATCATGTGAACTCTGGTCAGCCTCGTGGCAGCTTTTGGCTGGCCATCGAACAAAGACGGTCAAAGCATCGGACACATATTGCATAAATATCCAACCGTGCTAATCGCACTTTAGATTAGCACGGTTGGCGACACACGGTGCAAAAAGAAATTCAACATACATGCAGGACACACTTATGTATATTTTGCAACCAAAAAGTTTCGAGTGATTTTAAACATCTTGCTTGATAAACGAATCGGCTATGAGCAAACATGCGGGGCTCTCTCTCAAATCTCGAAGCGATGCGTGCCCACCAGTGCCATGACAGACACGTTGAGGTTTAGTGGCTTGTATAAGAATATCGTAACACTACCCAGTGTGTGCGTAGCTTTATTCCAGATCAAGACATCATCGTGGCCACCACCACCACCACCACCACAGCTCGTTGCCAATGCTCCATCCGCCAGACTCCACAGCTGCTGTACAAGGAGACGCGTGACGAGTTCTGCCCTCAGTCTCCAGCCATCTGTTGAGGTCTTCCACTTCCTTGGTCGTCAGATTCATGGAGACCCACACCGCATGGCGTGTCTCGTGGTGGCGAGATGTTACCTCCCTCGCCTGGTATACAGGAGGTCGTGGTTCGATCCTGTCCCTGACGCCTGCTCGATAATTGGAGTTAGTGTGTCTCTCTCTCCCTGTGGTCGCGTGGATTCTTTTTTGCGGGTCCTCCGGTTTTCCCTCAACATTCAGCAGCATAATGCATTGAGAGTATTTGCTTGCCTTACATTTCCACGCGTTAAACACATTGTTGGGCTATCATTTATGGCCAGGTCGCTTCTTGAAAAAGAACTCTATGTAGCTCAGTGGGTCTTACCTGGTAAAATAAAATAAAAATCTACACTATGGGAACCTCATTTGCCAGCAAAAATATGATAATTGGTTCTTTACCCTTCTATCTGGCAACAAAAGGTGTCAGTTTTGTTGCCAGATAGAAGGGTAAAGAACCAATTATCTTAAAATAAAAATGTTAAGTTATGGTGAGTTATTGTTGCAAATTAAACTGTCGTCTGATTATCATTTTTTTTATAATGGATGACACCTTAATGGACGCACTATACAGCGATGTTAATCAAATTTGGGTTACAATTAAAGAAATAACCAAATTAATCTCTTATTGGAGCCTTGTGTACGTATTTAGGGAACACCATTAGCACAAAACACACAATGCAATTCTCTAGAACACACGGTGATATTCAGCGAAATTACAGCACCGTTGTCAATCCACTGGACGGTTGAAGGCCTACCCGTGCCACGTCAGCCCCAGTGGATTTGACCATACTTCACCACGCTGGGCAGTGCACATTGGCAGAGGGGGGGGGGGGTGTGAGATCTCCAGAACTTCTTTCGCACCGCACGTAACCAACCGCGCTAATCGGATAATGTCGCAAAACCAAGTTGAATAAAATGCGACAAAAATGTTTTTTTGGCCATGTCGTATGATTTTTTGCCATCTCGTATACAGACGAATGATTCCCATGCTATATACGGATAATATATTTATTTTTAGGGTAATTACTTGACTGTAATTTTTTGCTGTCTAATTACAGCATTTTAAGAGCATTAGCATGTCTAATCCTTGATGAGTGGGGAGACAAGGTCAAAAGATAAAAGTATTTGCAGGCAATTAGGATTGCCCTCGGACCAGGATGAATGATTCATGGGCCGTGTTTACCTGTTACGTGACATCCCTTCATCATACATGCGACGTCACACGCAAAGACAAAGATCCCCCGTATAGCCTTAAGTGCTATACGGGTGTTAGTGAGAAGCACCTATGAAGGCCGGCACGGCACACGAAGGGGTGGGTTGGCCAGCACCACGCCCGGCCGTTTTTGTCTCCAGAGTGGCGATGTTTCCACATTGCACCGGGTACTCATTTGAAGCCGAGTCGACCTAGGGCAGGCCCAGAACCGCTTCAGATATTCGTCACTGGTGTTGGTGGCCCTGAGGTGGCAATCGAACTCGGGTCCCCGGGTTTGTCGCGCGGCACGCTAACCGCTACACTACCGCTCCCTACACACAACAACAACTGCCATTCACCACTAAGTGGCGGTTGCATCACCACGACGCCTGTGCCAGGCCAGGTGCACGTTGGGGCCACGTGAAGTGTCGAACGCCCGCTGGCAGGAGGTCACGGGGCAGACCCAGGTGCCACGGGTCGACTGACACACACAGGAGCACACACGCGGAGATTTGATATCCACAGCACCGGCGCCGTACGTGCGGCAACAATTATTTAAGAGTGAGAGAGAAATGTGTGCGACATCGCCGGGCCTCGGGTGTCATCGCCGCAGCATTGGGGCTCGTTTGTCTCTCCTCTCCCCCTTCGCCCGTGCCAGGCGAAGGGCGACGCGCTTTGTGGTGCAATAAAAGCGGACCGCGTGACGGCATCGGCGATCTCGCTGATATTAGCCAAATCAAATAAATGGTGTTGTCACGCGACTACTCGATCCAATTATTACTTGCCGATGAATCGACATTTTTAAGACGGCTGTCCGATCAACTTTGAGCTGGCTTGCTGCATCGACTGAGCAGAATCGATAACAATTAGCCTCGGTTCACGATCCCCAAGCGGAAAGGTGAAGGTCCGCTTATGGAAAAGATGGTCGCTTTACGAGCATCGCGTACGATGTCATCCACGATGCACATTCGCAACATAATTTTTACTGTTTGAGTTGAACAGGGCCCCCGTCGTTCAGATGGAGTGCTCTTACAAATAGCATCTGCAAAAAATAAGTGGCAGCACCTGTTTCACAAGCCTGTCTCTGCTGGTAAGACCCAGAAGGTCAAAGCCAGGTCAGAG